CCACCAGAGCCCGAGCTCGGGGCTCTCCTGGGGCCCCAGTTCACCCGTCATGGGGAATGGTCCCGTGCTGCTCCCCGCAGCCCCGTGGGTGGCTGTGGGGGGCTCCCGGCCTCTTCTCTTCACCCCCTTTGTCTCTCCACAGTTTATCTTGTGACTCTGGTGCATGCCGAAGCCGCTGCCGGCAGCGTGGTCCCGACTAACCGCACGGCGCCGAGGGCTGCGTCTAACCACGGGGTTGGTACTCGCAGGGTCCCTTGTCCCCCCACCCTCCCCGGCCACCAGCTTGGATGGGCAGGAGAGGGCAGAGGGTGGCAGAGGGGTGACCAAGGGTGGCCAGAACCAGGGGGGTGCAGCCTGTGCTTTGCTTTCTGTCGGATAAACCATCCCCTGCCTCTGCAGGGATCCTGCTGGGGGTAAAGCTCCAGGATCTGGCCCCTCCGTAGGGGTTTGGCACCCAGGCTGGTGACCCGTGGCAAGACACCCACAGTGTTAAGTGCTGGTAGTGCTGGCATGACCAGTGGGGCAAACCCAAGCCCTCCACCAGGAGAGGATGGTGGCCCCAGGCTGCTGGCCAGGACAGGGGCTGGTTCATGAGGACATCCCCGTGGCTTCTGGGGGGGACACAGCTCAACCAAGGGTTGGGGCAGATCTGTCCAGGGGGTGTGTGGATCCAGCCAGCATCCAGCTCCAGCTGCTCTCTCTTCCTCTTGTCCTTGATGGCTTTGGCTTGTGCTCACTAACCCGGTGACGAGGACCTCCCCAGATCACCCTGGGTCCAGGTGATCCTCCCCAGATCAGACTGGCTTCAGTCTCACCCGACAGCAGGTCTCCTGCTCTGGAAGGCAGAGCTGGAGTGGGCTGCCCTGGGTGGCTGGGTTCATGCAGGACCACTGCCCACCTCCCCTGGGCATCCCTGGTCCCCACCGGCCACAGCCTGGTTCTCACCCACCACAGCCTGGTCCTTCAGCTACCATGGGGGGGTCTTGCTGGGTCTTGCTGGGTCTTGCTGGGTTTCTCCCCCCTCCCAGCTCTGTGGCTGCTCGACCCCCACCTTAACCCACTAACCACACACCTCCCTTTCCTCTGCACGGCTGGTGCCAGGGGGGATTTTTGGGCTGATGCTCCTGATTTTGACTGAAGGGGGAGGCAGGGACCTGCAGAGGGTCAAGCAGTAACGTGGGGATGGGAAGGGGACAGGGAGGGAGGGCAAGCTGGGCTGGGCACAGGTGGCCACCAGGGCAGGCAGGTTGAGGGCTCCTACACAGATGAGGAGCACCATGAGAGCTGGCAGGGGGTGTCAGAGCCTGTCTGTCACGAGGGGCTGCCCCCATGAACCCCCTTTTCAGCTCCAGAGCCACTTTCCAGCCAGCCCCACACCCAAGGGGGACCTCCTCAGGCTGGTCACCAAGACAGTGATGGGACCACGGGTCACTCAGATGGCCCAGAGGATGATGCACTGGGGAACACAACCCAGCACAGGCAGCAAGTGATGTCCCTCGGTGGGGACAGGCCACCAGCACCCACCAGGTGGCTGCTCCCCCCTGCAGGGCCACCCCTTTCTGAACAGAGAGGGGCTGGGGGGTGAGAGCTTCCATGAAAGAGCCAGGTTACTCCTTTGCTCTGCCCCAGCACCTTGGGGCTCCCAGCCCCTGCTCCCCATTTCCCTCAGCTGGGAGAGGAGTCTGTCTGTGTGTCTGTCCATCCGTCCCCCCTTTGCTGGTGTCCCCAGAGCTGTCTGAAGAGGGGAGGCAGCAGCACAAGCAGGACATGATGTGCAGATCCCCCTTTACCAGCTGCAGCGACAGCGGGTGGGGGGTCAGGTCACCCCATAAGTGATGTGAGCAGAGGTCTGGGGTGCTGGGGTGCACCATCCTGCCCAGGCCATGCCAACCCAAGCTGGCCAGGGCTGCTCCTGCTCGTGCTGGGACCCCGCTGCCGCCCTTCACCCAGTGTGGTGGGACTGGGCATGGCCGTGGTGGGACTGGGCACAGGAGTGTGTTGAGGATGCTCTGGGGAAGGGGCTGCCTCCCTGGTGCCCTGCGGGTCCCCACAGCCCCAAAGATGTCCCTACTGCCTGTAACGTCTGCTGTCAACATGGCAAGTGTGCAAACAGCCTGCAGTCTGGTGTCTTTGTGGGGTCTGGGAGGCTGGGGGGAGCCGGAGGGGGATGGGTTGGGGGTCCCCCAGCTCCCATGTGCACCATGCCATGGGGCACAGCGTGGGGGGCAGGACAGGCTGTTCTCCCCACGGCCATCTCAGCGCCCCACTGAGCAGCCAGGGCCACCCCATGGGGTGTCGGGGCAGGAGGGGACAGAAATGCCACCTTCCCTGGGTGCCCTGCGGGAAGAAGGGGCTTTGTGGCTCCCCCCATGGCAGCGTGGAGGGGGGGGCACTGGGGGAGGGTGCAGGATGGGGGGTGTCACCTCCCAGGGGGTGGCCCTGGAGCGGAGAAGTGACAGCATCCAGCGCAGGGTGCGGTGC